GAACCAGGTAGTATAGCAGCGTTGTTGGAGGCGGGGGCAGTTGAGCACCTACTGCATACCAGGCACGGTGCTATGAACTGTATGTGCACCATCCCATTTAATTCCCACCATGACCCTTCGGAGGAGAAACTACTGCCCCCAGGTGAGGACACTAAACCTCCAAGTTAGTACAGCGACTTGCCCAAGGTAACACCGCCAGTTAGCCTCAGAGTGCAACTCAAAAAGTCCATGCTCTTCCCGCCATCCTCCCTCATCAAAGTTATTCTTGCCCCTGGCTAGCATAAAACAAGGCAACTGTCAAGTCTGAGATGATGTAATTCTCAGATGATTACTGCCTTAGGGAATGGGGAGCTGCTGCCCACCACCATCCAGCCACCTCTTCCCCACCTCCTGCCCTCAGCAGGCCTGATTCCACTGCTCCCACCATGTGCCTGCTGCCCTGTGGCACAGTGGGCCCAAACTCATCAGGAAGAAGCAACAAGGCCAACAAGTCTACAGGCTGCCACTCACTGACACTTATCCTCTTCCCCACCCCCCACCCCCCACCCCCGTCTGGCAGACCAACCCCTCTGCTCCTTTTGCAGCCAATCAATCCAAATCCCAAAATGCCCAACACTTTTAGCAAGAGAATGGCCCTGAGTGACCCACAAATGGAGAAATACAACTGTGCCTTGTGGCTGGCATCCAGGTGACAAAAGGGAAGGCTGTGGTCTAGTTCCCATCCTATCCCTCCATAGGCACAGGACCGGCTGAAGGGGGCTTGTTCCAGATCAGCCTTAGCAGGAAGCCTCCAATCTTCCCTGATACACCAGCAGGCCGGCCCCCAGGCTCCAGCAAGCTCCACTTGGCTCCAGTGGGCTGTGACCTGCATTGAACTAGAACGGCTTCAGCTGCAAACATCCCCTCCCAATTACGTCTGCCTTGGGCCAGCGTTAAACACCAGTGTGCCGCCCCTGGCACAACCCACCCAGTGGCAGAGAGGGACCACATGCCCGGCAGCAGCAGGGAGGCCAGCCCAAATTAGACCTTGTCATAGGCAAACCAAAGAACGGAGCTGCGAATCGACGGGTCATGTTCAATCTGGCTCTGTCACTCTACCCAAGCAATGTGAAACCCACTCGACAGAGCCAGTGAAATGCCAAGGGGGAGAGACATTCGAGCACAGGCCTCCTTGCCAAGATCTCGTTGTCCACATCCAAGTCCTACGCTCGGGCTGGTCCCAAGCTCAGAGGCTTGAGGGGCCGGGCTGGCCAGGGGGAAGCCAGACAGCCAGGGCTGCAGCCACTGGCTAGTCCCTTACCTTGCTCTGTGGGGGAGAGGCTGCCAGCTGTTGCTGCTTTGCGATGTTCTCTGACAGGCACCAGCACACTCTCTTCTTCTGCTCCTGTGAGTGCGCTTCCAAAGTGAATAAGCACTCTGCCTTCTGACGTCAGGGAAAATAGAGAAGGGGATGGTCAGGACTGCTCCCTGGTTCAGGGGGCTCCCAGGCCCAAGCCCATCCCTCGGTTCCGCAGGGCGAGGCCGCAGCAGGGAGTGGAGTGCCCACTAAAAGCCACAAATGCACATTAATCCCCGGCGACATCGAGGCAGCCAGAGGAGCAGGGAAGCTGGTTTGGAGGCCAGCTGGTGAGCCTTATGCACACAGGCTGGGGGAAGGGAGGGAGGCAGTGGTTCCCTATACAGTGGAGGCCTGTGGAGAGCCACAGAACAGAAATGGTGAGGTCACTGCCGGGGACAGGCAGCACAAGGCAGCAGCTGGGAGGGCACATGGAGAAGGAACCCAGAGGGCCAAGGTTCCCGCTCCTCTGATGCTCTGTGGAGCCAGGACCTCTCCCTTGGCTCGCAGGACCCCCTCCCCCACCTAGGGCACACTCAGCTGATCACCAGGCCAGGGTTGGATGGCTGACTGGCTGGACGTACCAACAGAACCCTTTGGAAGTCTTTGGGAGGCAGAGTCATGTGGCCTTCCACAGCCCCACTACGGCCGGGCACCTGAGCTGGGTCTGATCAATGGCTGTTCAGCTCCACTGAGTACAACAGCAGTCCCTGGCACCGCTGTCATTTAAATGTCTCCTTGCTATTTAACCTCGTTAAGTGCTGCAGTCTCGTCCCCCCAACTAGATTAGAAACTCCTTCTCGGAAGGCCTTTTTTATCTAGACCTAGAATAGTGCTTGGCAAGTAAAGCCTCGGTAAGCTTTGGCTCCCTGGAGGGACTTCCGGGATGAGGTCAAAGCGAGGCCAGCTTGGCCTGAGCGAGCACCAGGGAGCTGCCTTGACCCGGCGAGTGGGCCAGAAGCTGTCAGAATGTGCTGGGGGCGGGGAGAGGCGGTGCAGCATGCCCCGTATTATCCACCACAGGACACTCTGATCAGAGGATTAGGAGCTCTTTCTGACTCCGCTGGAATTTGATTATAGCCTCACAGGGCTGCGATTAGATGAACTCAGCCAGGGAGCTAAGAGCATGAGCTGGATGGCTTGGAACGGAGAAGATGGTGTTTGTGTGTGGTCCTTCCTCATTTTGCAGTTGGACAGGCCTGGTCTGAATCCCAGCCTTGCCACTTCCTAGCTGACGACCTCCGACCTCTGGAAAGTCTGTAAAATGGAATGATAATGCTATGGCCCACCTCTCAGAGCTATCGGGAGGCAAGCAGTGAGGGCCGTCTGACGCCTCACGAACAGCTCCAGCCGCTACTACTCAGTGCCTCATTCCTTTAGCACATATTCATTGAGCACCTGCTATGTGTCAGAGACTGTGCTAGGCCCTGGAGGTAAAGGGGGAAGCAAGAGAGACAGACGTCTTGCCCTGGGGCTGGGGGCAGACAATAAACCAATAAACAACTAAACAATACAATTACAAATGTGGAAAGACCGCAAGGGAAGCAGTCTTACTTGAGCCTGGTGGTCAGAGCAGCGCTCCAGCAAAGGCTTAGATAATAAGGACCAGCAAGGGAAGTGCTTAGAAGAAATTGTTCCAGGAAGAAGAAACAGCAAATGCAAATGCTCTGAGCTGGGGTGGTTATTGGCATCGTCCAACAGCATTTGGGGACATTTTCCATCCTGCTATCCAACCCAGCTCTTAGGGGTACCACCTTCGGGGCAGGGCCACCTCCCATGCTAAGTGTTCCCTAGGTGCAGTCCAGAAGCTAATCTTCCTAAAAGCCTCAGAAGAAAGAAGGAAGAAAGCCCCACCCCTGGGCTTCTGGGAACTGGGTAGGTGTGTGAGGCAATCCTACCACTTAACGACAGATTCCCTCCACTGCCCAGAACCCCTGGCCCACCACAGGGGAAGATACACTCAGAAAAAGACGCCAAGATTCCTCAGGGAGAAGTTGGGTGGGCAGGAAACGACCAGTGGGCCCTCTGCTCCCTGTCTCATCATGTCTCCCCTGTGAGGAGAGGGGTGAGGCAGGGACTATGGTTCCTTCCAGCTTTGGAAAAGGCCACCACTCCACAAAGCTGGCCTAGCTGGAGCCGCCCAGATCCTGCCTCCACCTAGCTGGTTAGGTTTCACCAAATCCCTTCATCTCCCTGAGCCCCGAATCTTCCTCTGTTTCTTTTAGTTCTGAAATAGGAATTCTGTCATAATAATAATTCCTTTTATCTAATTATCAATTTTCAAAAGCACTTTCTCATCCATGATCTCAAGAAAGGCTTCGAATTTCAAGGACCTAAACTCAGGCCTGGCCTGGAGGCTGGCTATCTTAGATGGGCACACATTGGGAAGCACTTGCTCTCAAGGCTCCTCTCTAGATGCTTCATGGAGCTTTGGAGGCTGGCCTGGCCAAGAGAGACAGCATGAAGCCAGCTCCCTCCGGGGTGGCTGAATTCCTAGCTGCCTAACTCTATCTAAATTAGGGCCCCAGCGCTGTCCTGGCTGACCCTGCGCATGAACCGCCAGTTTTAATACACTCCGTGATCCAAGCCAATGCTGGTTGCGGAGCTGATGCACACTCTGCCCTCAGTACCAGGCTCCAAGGTCAAGGGTGTAAGCTACACCCTTGAAAGCATTCTCATGTAACTCATTGAGAGGCAGGACTTCTTGACTGCAGGGTGGTTAGCCAAGCACAGAGCTCTCCAGGTGCAGCAGCACGGGGCCTGGGCCTCTGCATTCGAACATGAGTGTGCCCGAATCCAACCAGAGACCCGACTCCTCTTCTCCTCTTTAAAACCCCCATCTTGCCTCACCCACTTGTTCCTGAAATAATATTATCTTTGTAAAAACTAAAACTCTTTCTTCAATGATTTACAGTTGTTCACCTGCTTTGACAAATGTTCTCTCCTTTAATTCTCCCAATGATCCTCGACATAGGGAGGAAAGAAAGGCACAGTTGCTGCCATTTTTCAGATGAGAAAACTAAGGCTCAGAAAGGTTAGGTTGGCAGCCCCAGGAGGTCTCAGGAGAGGAGACAAAGTCTGTCTTTCGTCTCCTCCAGAGCCTACTATCTTGCCACATTTGTATAACTGCATATGTACATTACAAACAGATATTCCTCTTAGCTTTCTCTTTAAAAGATCAATAACTCATGGGCGATGTCTCTAATGGAGAGGAAAGGAATATGAAAAGCTCTGCCCCTGTTATGAAGCTGACGACAATAACAGCTACCATTTATTGAGTGCTCACTGTGTGCCAGGCTCTGAGCTAAGTGCTTTGGACATGGTATCTTATTGAATCTCATTTAATCATTATAACAACCTTGCTAGGTAGGCTTCATCGGCCTTGTTTCAGAGATGAGGATATGACTTGCCCAGATCGCTAAGTTCGGAAATGGCAGAGCCAAGATTCAAATGCAGGTCTTCTTAACCCCAGAGTGCGGATCGAGATTAATGGAGCCAGGATCAGATTCCAGGTGAGGGAACGGTCCCTGGCCAATGAGCACTTTGACCCAATGCCCCTGGTGCTTTGAAGTCATCTGTCCCATGGATTTGCGGGGGCTGAGGGACACCTGTCCAGAGAAATAGAGACCCCAGGGCCAAGGGCTACTTAGGGCGATCCCACCCACGCCCTGCTGCTGGAGGGTATAATCAGAGAGCAGCTGCCACCCAAACAATTGGGACTTTCTCAGTGCCTGGGAAAACCCTCTCCAAATCCTGACTCTTCTGCCCTGGTTTCTTCTCCGGGTGCCACCTGCCTGTCAGGCAATGAAGAGAAACCACCTGTTGGAAGTTCCAACTACAATGTGAGTTTGGAGTTCTCCACAGGATCCTAAACCACCGTGTCAAGCCTGTCCCAGGCTACAAAGCATACAGTCATCTTGTCTCCCTTCATTACAGAAATGCCTTTCATAAATAGCAACCCATTAGGAGAAAAAAGAGGTTTCTGGCTGCCTGTGAGCTTCAACTCCCCAGCCCCTTGGGGTCAGATCACCTGGCACTTTACTGAAATAAAAAGCCCCAGATCAATATCCCATCATCAATCTTTGGAGGGCTTAGGAGGTCACAGCTCCCAGGAAACCGATGAGCAGAAGTGCTTCTCTCTGGGAAAAACAACCCCGGCCTGGCAGGAAGCTCTCTTGGCATTAAAGAACTGGAAGCTTCATTTCAGGCCCTGCCAGAGTGAATCAGAATCAAGAGGGATGTGGATGGAGGGGCAAATGCTCTGGCTCTTCCCAGCCTGGCTCACAGCTTCTAAGCTGATCGCTGGGCTCTGTGGAACTGAACACCCACTAGCTCTGAAGTGCCTTTGCCAGCTACTTCCAGTGCCTGGTGGGATGTGCTGACACAGGGGAGGATATCCAATGACTCCTTGTCCCTCGGGTTGCCATTCTAGGCAGCAAGGGTCCCCGGCTGAGCAATCACAATGTCCACTGCCCTTTGGAACTCTCTGAAGCTAACTTATCAACTCTGTCTTCTCCTTCAGGGGTCTTCACCCCAGGGGATTCTCTGGAAGTCTCGTAGCTCTTAGCGAGAAACTGAAGGAATGATTTTCAATCACAAATGACACACACATTCCTTCTCTAAAGAGTATACTCCTCTTGGCCAGCCAGTGTGAGCCATGCCCCACCCACAGGGACCTTCCCACAAGACAGGCAGGTTCCCAGGGCTGTTGGGTGGAACAGACTGAAGCAGAAGATAGGAATGGGTCTAATGAATCCTTGCTTGGGACAGAGAGCACCCCCTGCTCATATTAATGGAGACATGAGATTGGGAATAAAAAATTAACCGAAAATCTAAAAGAATATGATGGCTCAGTGGCTCTCAACTTTTTCATCACCAAGAACCTCTTTGATTAAAGCCATGGTTTAATGATATTTTATCTCCCAAATCATATCAAGCAATGAGGTATTTGCCCAATTTTGCTCAACAAAGGCAGAGCACTGCCCATATGAGCTTCTGATGAGACCGAGATAACCAGAAACACCAATCACAGTGAGCGGGTGTCATTCCAGCCTCAAACCCCGACACTTGATGCGTTCCTTAGCCTATATTATCTGGCCCCGGTAAAGGCCATGTGAAACACTGACGAGACCCTTAGGAGAGGTCCTGGATAGTACTTTCTGGAAAAAGAGGACAAAAGAGGCAGGCATAGGATTCAGAGCAATCTCCAGAGGAAGGGCTCCCAAATAAATAAATAGGGAGATGCATAGCTGTCCGGCCACACCCTCATTAGGACCCCCAGGAGGTCCTAAGCAGGAGATCAGTGTCCCCTGCCCCCTCTATGCACTTCTGTGCCCACCGCTCCTCTACACAGAGTAAGAGACGCAGGGGCAGGGACCACTGTTTCTATCAGGACCTGCCCCAGGACAAGGTAGAGAGGAGGCAGCATCAGAACCCTGGACTAGAACCTTGCCCAAAATCCCCCCTCAAGCACCAGGTCTCGGATCTCTCTCCTCAAATTCAGGGGGAAGGACTCACCTCTGCTAGATACAGCACACAGAATTTCAGATCTTCCGAAGAACCTTCGGGAACAAAAAGTAAGACTTGCGTTACAATTGGTTACAGAGTCTCAGGGGTTTGCTTGAGCAGAGCCGGCTGTCTCGCCCAGAGGGCTGTGTGCGGTACTTCCTGGAAAAAGACAAAGAAAGAAGCAGGCACAGGGGACAGGGAAATCTCTGGAGGAAATGCTACTTAACAACTAACCAAGCTGAGGCACAGCTGTAAGGCCTTTGCCTGCAGGTCAGCCTGACTCAAGGAATGCTGAGATCTCATCTCCATGAGAGGCAGCTAGAGTCCCTTTGGGCATCAAACAGCCAGGTACAGAGAGCTGTCATCCATCCCAGGAGGCCTCTTCCTTCCTGCGATGAGGGACACGGAGGTAGCACATAGTTGGGTTTTCCTTTAAACATTCCAAATGCCTTCGCCATTCTGAAATTCAATAAGGAGCCACTAGGTCGCTGGACGGGCTTTGTTTCTCACCAAGGATTGCATGGGCCATGCAGGTGGGGGATCCCCAATTATGGACTGGGTGGAGCCCAGAGATGGCCTCTCAGACCAGGCTCAACCCCTCGGTGTGTTCTCCTAGAGCCATCTCACCCCTGCTCTGGAATTCCAAACTCGACCATTCACCAAGCCCTCCCCACCTGGGATGCAGCTGGGAGGGAGCGTTGGCTGCTCCCCTCCCCTTCAGCAGAGGAGCTAAGGTGGCATACCTACCCTACGGCAGAAGATGATTCAGTCAGAGTGCTTCAGAAGCACAAGGGCCAAGAGATGACTGCCAGCTGTTGGGGAAGGTTTCCTGGTGGAGGATCCTTTTGAGTTTGAACTCAAGATGAGCCGAATAAACAGCAGAGGAAGGGCTCCCAAATAAATAAATAGGGAGAGAATAAACACACCGGGAGGTGAGAACAGCATGGACAAAGGCACGGAGATGGAGAAGCACGAGACGTGCCTAAGGGATAGCGAGGGTGATGAAGAAGCCCCGCCTCTTCTCCAGGACACCTCCCCTGACAGTTGCAGGCTGCTTCTTAGAAACCAGCAACACACCCCACTGGGCACTATCATCTGGGTACTGGCCGGGGATGGTTTGTAACTTCCTGTATTTCAAACAATAGACCTCACCAGGCAGGCTGTCAGTTTTGAGGGAAGCAAAAATACAGCACGTATAACAGCAAACAGTTCGAGTGCCATAGAACTTTAGAGTACCACAGTGCTACGTGCCGACCAAATGCTTTACCTGAGTGAGCTCAGCCCTCACAACACCCGCCGAGGCATGATTCATGTGAGAAAACTGAGGCACAAATGGCTTGAGGGACAAGCCCCAGGTAGAAAGGAGAAGAACCAGGATTTATCTCCCCTACTCAAGGAAGCCTGGCTCCAGAACCCACGCTCTGAACCACTACACACCGGGCTCTCAAATGCCTCTGCTCCCTCAAGGAAATAGGCCCAGTGCTGGGCTCAAAGCGACCCCTCCACGCATACCTGAATCAAAGAAATTGTCAAAGGAATTGCAGACTGTGTTGCAAAATAAAGGTGCCAAGGTACAAACAGAGACAATAGGTCAAGCCTATTCCTAGGAAAATTCGTGAGTGAGGACCCTCATGTGAGTGAAGGCCAGGCCCCCTCAGAGCAAGCATGTGGGCAGCTTCCCCAGGGCAAAACCACCCCTAGGGCCAGAGGTGTCAACCAGAGCCAGATAAAAACAGCCCATTAGTCAATGGGCTTCACTTTGGCCTTAGAGAGGACAAATCTCGTTTCTTCTCACCTAGAGGTGGGTTGGGAGGTAGGGAGGGAGCCCTGCCTAAGAAGCCCATCATGTTTAAGGAACCTGTCATTTCAAAGCTTCTGCCAGTTCCTTATGCTGCTGAGGGTGGGAACAAAAGAAGGTGGTTTGTTTTGTTTAAAACACACTGAGACATTTCCTTCACTTTCCAGAAGCGGATCTCAGTGCCAAGAGAAATATAAAAAGATCTACATAAGAAAATAGCAATTCGGGTTTTAGAAGTTGGCGGTGAGAGAAGAGAAGGCTCCCTGAGGGAAGGGAAAGCCAAGGAGATGGGAGCCTCAAGGAGACAGGAGGACGAGTTTGGGGGACACAGCCTGGAACACGTTCCCGATAGAGCAGGATGCCTGACAACTGCCTTGACAACTTTTCTGTTCTGCAACGCTGCCCGCCACCACCCTCCTGCATTACCCCAAACCTTCGCTGACATCCACCCCACATCCTGGCCTTGTGCTGGCAGCACTTAGAGAGAAAGAAGGAATGGGAGCAGTGCTCGGCATAGCTCAGAGCCTCAGGAAAGGATGACAAGCCTCCAGAGCCGAGGGTGCCAGGAGGGAGCCGCAGCTGTGGCAAAGCAGGCTGCACGGGAGCTGAGCCGGGAGAGAGACCTCGGCCCCACCGGACGCCCTTGGGAACGTGAGCTTGAGCTCTGGACTCTCCAGAGTGGCAACGGGGCGAGTGGAAAGGAAGAGGGAGGCAGCACACGTTCAGGTTTCCCTCCGACACTCCAAATGCTTTTGCCCTTTTGAAAAGTAACAAGGAGCTATTTGGTTCCTGGGTGGGCCTTGCTTCCCACCGATGAACGTGTGGGTTTCGCAGAGGAAATCCCCAGTCACGGGCTGGGTAGGGCCCCAAGAGGGCCCAGGCCTGACCCCTCCGTCATCTTCCCAGAGCCCTCTCCAGCCTGGCCTGAGACCCCACACTCAGCTGTTCACCAAGCCCTGTCTGTCCTTCAAGACAAGCCAAGAGGGTCAACGTCTCCATTTTTCAGATGCAGAAACTGAAGCCTGGAGAGGAAAACAACTTATCTAAGGCAATCTGTGAGAAAGCGGCAGAGCTGAGGCCTGAACCCAGGACTGCCTGCCTCCACAGCCTGGGTTCTCACCACCGTGTCATCCTTCTGCCCCCAACCAGTATATTCCTCTGTCATTTCGCCAGGCCATGCACTCCAGAAGTGGAAACGTGTCTCTTCCACAGCTCTCGCCTTGGCGGCCAGCACCGATGTGGGCTCTGAGGATGTGCTCAGAAAATGTCAATCAACTAAATTTAACTCCAAGCATTCCAGCAGCTAGGACCTAAGCATCTAAGTTTCCAAGACTGGGCACCTGGCTCCCCAGGGTGGATGGAGAGGCCGAGAATCAGCTGGACATTTCCAGGCCATCCTGAGAGACCAGAGCAGGCCAGGAGGACACACTGTGGGCGGGATGCTGGCCGCCTGGGAGGCAGAAACACAAAAAGCAGCAAAGCCAGTGGGTGGCAGAGGCAGGAAGAGACCACAATGGGCCCCGGCTGACCGGAGATGTCCCAATTGTTAGCGCCAGCTCTCTGCCTGTTCCCATTACACTGCCATGCAGCCCTGCTGAAGCTTTAGGGAAGCTGGGCAGGAGGAGGGCAGGCGAGGTTTAAGGGACCATCATCTGAAGCCCTGCAGGAGGAGGAAACTCTCAGACCCCAAGCTAACACAGTGCTTCCGGTCTCTTTTCATTCATTCACCCAACAAACATTCTTTGGGCACCTATGATATTCTGGGCCCAGTGCTAAGCCCTGGGAGTACGCTTTTCCAGCCGAGCTAAGCACCCTTCACAGAAGTCACATGGGGGAGTCCTTAGTCCCGGGGTGGGGCAGATTCTCCCTGGCCAGGGAACAACCCCAGCCCTAGCCAGCAGGAAAGCCTGGGTGTGTTCCTTGTTTACCATCTTCCTTGCCTCAGACTGAACTCTCTATACATGTTGATTTGAAAGAGACAAGAAACCTAGGAGAGTGAGCAATGTTAATCAGAGATCATTCGGCCAACAGACGCTCCAGCTGAGTCCCAAATGCATCTCTTAAAAGCTTCACTCAGGCCCTGCTGCCGAAGCACAGCGGGTCTCTGGGGGCACAAGGGAGTCAGGCAGGAAATTAGGCGCCAGGACTCAGGACACTGGGTCCTGTGGCTCCAACTCCAACTGCAGGAGTCACTGGACTTCTGCAAACCCCCGGGACCCGCAAGCCTAGCGTCCCAGCAACGCGGGGGTGGGGAGGGGCGAGGACTCTGCCAATGCCTGGAAAGAAATCTAAGCGGTGGAATGTGCACCTTGAGTTCACCTCAGTGTCACTGAGCCATTTCCTTCATCCTCAGCAGCTCATGGGCTCCCTAGAGAGCCATGTTCACTATTTGCTCACTGACACTGCTGGAGAAGGGCACACACACACAGACACACACACAGACACACACACAGAGACACACACAGACACACACACAGAGATACACACAGACACACAGACACACACACAGACACACACAGACACACACACATACCCTCTCATGCCAACCCAACAGGCTCTCATGGCATGGTCATCTCTCCTGAGGAGTGCTGGCCTTGGCCACCATCAGCCTGCCATCTGCGGGGAGAGGATGTGGTCTCCAGCCCCAGAAAGCCATGCCTGCACAAGGCTGTTGCTCGCACGAGCTCAGCATCTGGGAGGTTTCTCTGCAAAACCTCAAGGCCCCACACCACCTAACGTGACCATCCACCACCCAGCGGAGGCTGGAGCTCACCCTGCTTCTAATTTCAAACCTTAGGTCTGGAGGCTCTAGGAGGGGACGATCCAACCAATTTGCAGTCAAGGCTCCCTCGAGGGGTGGTGGCAAGACATACAGGCACTATCAAGCTTCTCATAGCAATTCAGGGTCTGTCTGGGGATACCAGGGCTGGGAGGGAACACAAAGGACTGGCCCAACCCTTGTTTCACAGTCAGAGAAGCTGAAGCCCAGAAAAGAGAAAGAGCCAGCTGAGGTCACTCAGCACGTCAGCAGCAAAGCTGAGCCCAGACCCCAAACTCCCAGCTGTTACCCTCAGCTCTTCCACTGCCCCTGTCGCTCCCATCACAAACCCTACCCAGAGCACAACCAGTGTGAACCCCCCTTCTTTTCTCTCCCTCCCTTTAGCAAGAGGCTGAGCACTGCCCCCCAGTAAGGGTTCCATTCTATAATCAATCAGCCCACGTTACCTGCCCCCTAGTACTCCTCACAGCCGACTGGGTCCCAGACTGTCTGAGCTGAGGATGGGCAGATGCACACAGGAAAGGACTGTACAGTGTGTGCGCAGGAGGGTGGGAGGGACGCGGCAGTGGACGTGTAGGGGAAGCTGGTGTGAGGGAGGGAGGAAAAGACAGAGCAGCAGGAAGCCAAGGGCAGTAGCTCTCACCTGCCCCTCTCCCAAGGGAGCTCCCTGCAGTGCCAGGGTCTGAGCTGAACTTGCTCAGAGAACTGCTCCTCACCACTGACTTTAGTCAGATGGAACCCGCCCCGAGGGAGGGGCTGGCCCCAAGCGAGGTGACTTGCTTTTTCCTTTCAGTGGCCGCCCTGGTCAGTGGGCAGGAGAAAGCTAGAGGCAGAGAAGAAGTTGTAAGTAGTTCCTGGTTCTCACGCTGCCCGGTGTCTAAGGAGGAAGGCCAGCAGGGGCCAAGCACACAGGTCGGGTTTGCAAACAGGCAGGAAGTTTTCCTGGAGCAAAACTCGTCAAAACAGAATTCTTTCGTTGGGTAATATTTTCCTCCCTGCTCCTGTCACTCATGCTCAAACAGGTCTGTTGTTGTTTTCATAATCTGGGAGAGGAAATCAAGCCCCTTTCAGCAGAGACCTCAGGCGCCAAACCAAACCACTCAACAGATACTCTCCCAGCCGGCTTCCCGTTCCCGAGTGGAGGAGGGCATGATGCAAAGTTTGGGGCTGAGGTTCACTCCACGCTCCCAGGTGCTCCTGCTCGCCGGCCCCCAGCCACATATGCTCCAGATTCCTTGGGCTCTGGCCAGAGCAACGCAGCCGAGAGAGAAGGAACAGTGGTCTCTTGTCCCGGATATGTGTGGTGAGTGTGGTGGCAAGTAGCATTTATTGGGCACCTGGTGTGGGTCAGGCACTTTGCATATATGACCTAATTTAACCTTCGCAACAACCTTCTGAGAGACTATTGCTATCCCACATTTACCTGCGAGGAAACGGGTTCAGAGAGGTTGAGTAACTTACCCAAGGTCACATAAGTAGTGAGGGGGCAGGGCCGAGATCCGAACGCGGGTCTAAGTCCAAAGCTCTTCCCACTCTACTCCCCATCCTCCCTAAACATCTCTGGAAAAGAAACCTCCCAGCAAAACTCAGGGTGCATGGGGAAGTCTGCCAGCCTAGAATGGAACGTAAGTGTCTGAGAGCCCACCAGCCCTGGGACAGGACCGGATGGCACACGCTCAGATGCCTCACCGACAACTAGCAGCTCAGCACCAGAGGGGCTGGACCCAAACTGAGCCTCTAGAGTGTCCAGAGTGGTGGATTTGGCACAAGCGAGGAGGGGTCCCAGAGCATCCTAGGCAATCACTTACCTTCCTGCAGCTTCACGCTCCGGAGGTAGAGGGGGTTCCTCAGGACGTTGCAGCGGCCCGGCTCGTCCTCCTTGGTGAAGAGCAGCAGGTCCGAATAGGCGAACAGCGTCACCTGCGTCAGGCAAGAGCAAACAGAACTGGTTCTTCAGCTGTCCCAGAGGCCGGGAGCCATGACCTCTCCTAGAGGTCCAGATAAGGATCCCTCGTCATCTCAGACAGGACCAGGAACGGACTTAGTGTGGCCTCAGCCAAGGGCAGAGACCTGACCTGTAGTCGAGACTGCCCCTTTGTCCTACAGTTTTCTACAGCTCCACACCTCACAGTGGGAAAAAAATAATAAACGACAGAAATGACCCTCACCCTCCATGGCAGATGGCCCCCGCAAGCCTCTCCGCGGCCTGACAGCCCACGAGCCCACCTCTCTGGCCAAAAGCCCCTGGAATCTCCAGCCCAGCACCCTTGGCTTAGAGCCACCCTCGAGCTGCAGGATGTTCTGCATCTGCTTGGATTCTCCTCTAAATATCTGGCTGTAAGAGCACTAGATTTGAAATCAAAAGTCATGAGGCTCCTATCCCACTAAGTAGCCATGAAAACTCGGTTAAGTCCCACGAGTTTTCTCATCCATACAAACAGGGGCAGAGACTCTGCCCAGTTTCCCCACAGGCTCCTTTCACAAGCTCTGTGCAGACTGTGAATTGAAGCATCATGCAGTGTGAGATATTATGACAACCCAATCCCTTGCAGATAATTTTAACTGCAGTAATGCGCAATCGGTTCAAGAAAAAGCCAGTTACTTATGCTCCAATACCGACATGTGCACAACTTTTATCCCTTTTATGCACTAGCTGCTTCAAAAATAAAGGAGAAAGCTATTTTTAGACATTATAGGTAAACCAACAGGCATGCTCAGCATATTTTTGTGCTACAAAAATCCCCTTAATCCTCTAATGCCACTAAAGATTACACCATTCTTTGTTTTGTAAATTCTGCAGTGGTCTGTAGTCAAGAGCAATAAAATCCAATTTTAGATTCTCTGAGGAAAACAAAATATAATTAATTATGTGAATTTCCCTTTGCGGTGTCAAAATTTGAGACTTCATCTCTTCTGAAGTTAGAAGAGTCAGCTAGGAGGGCCTGGCATGTACTAGTAAGGGTCGCAGTGAGTACCTGTTAGATTGTCATTGAAGTTTAAAAAGCCAGCGTGTTAACATTTAGCTATCCGACTGTTAAAGGCAACCTAACAACTTCACCTCTGAGACTATCCAACAGAAATACTCATAAGGCTATATAAATATGAACCTGTAAAGATGTTCTTAGCAATATTTTGTGATAAAAGAAAACGTATATAAACTAATGGGAGTGGGGAATGGGGATGACATAGAAAAAAAATGTAATAAAATAAACAAGGGAAGGGTAAAAGAAAAAAGAACAAATGCTCATCAAGAGATGGATAAAATAAATTATGCTACCTTCATGTGGTAAAATTTTGTGCAACTACTAAAAGTATAAAGTAGAGCTACGTAGACAGAAGCTGTAATCTGTCCATCATGAGTCAAAATAGTGCAATGTGCAAAAATACCTAGTGGATAATCCAATCTTGTGAAACAAAACTATAAATCTGTCTATATTTAACATTTTCCAAATGTCTAAGATACCACACTCTTCACTCTGGGGAGTGGATTTTCCTTTATTCATTTCTGCTTAATTTGCGTTATTTTGCAACAGGACTCTGTTACTTTTGTGTAATTTAAAAGAATATAAATATTTTTCAAAGGACCACTTGCCTTCTTGAGTGTAACACAAACACAGAGATTTGAAGAATGTCAGCCACAGAGACAATACAGGGAGGGCGTCCTTGAGCAGGAGGCTCTCAGGGCCTCTAGCTCCCTTAATGGGACCAAAACATTAGGGCTCTGGAACCCTGGGTTGGCAAGGATCCGGGTGATGACTCTATCCCAACGCCCTCCTACCACAGCCCTGTCCCAACACAGCCCAACAGAAGCCTCCATTTGTTGAGCACTTATTTTCTGCTCAGTGGATCCTCACTTAAAAATAACATCATTGCCCTCATTTATAAATGAGGACCCTACAGCTCAAAGAGGTTAAGTGACTTGTCCAAGGCCACACAGCCAGCGACTATTGCCCAGGTCTGGCTGACACCAAAGTGCTCACTATACAGAGAGATAGCAATACGCCTTCAGTTGTCCCGTCTCTGATTGTGAAAGAATCCAACAAAGACCAAAAAAGAGGAGCAAAGGAGACCAAAAAATAAATGAAGTTGGGGTGGGGGGGATGATCTGAGAGTTCAGAAGAATTTGAGGGGTTGGTTGTCTGAGAGGAGGTCTTCAAAGTCCAAGCAGTAGAAAGGAGAAGGCTTTAAACTAGCCCAACACAAGCAAACACTGGGCTCCCCGACCCACTCAAGAAAAACCTGGAAGTCACCTGCAGACCCGCAGGGAAGCTGGCAGGGTAAGGGGTGGACTAAACAGTCTGTCAGAAGCCTAAAAAATTTTAAAAACGGCCCCAGCCCAGAAAGGGCTGGATAGATGGCAAGCGCCCATGGGCAAGGTGAGAAAAGCCCCAGGCTGCCGCTCTGGCCCTGCTTCCCAGAACTGGAAATGTGGTCTAGACAGGAAGTGATTAAGGCATGAACGAAGAATTTCCCCAAAGGTCAGGTCAGGGAAAGAACAGAACTGGCACATGGCTGGAGGCAGGGCAGAGGGGCAAGCGTGCCGGGGGAAGGCAGGTGAGCCCCTCTTCCATCTCACCAGCATCCTGCTGGCTTTGCTCCAGCAGGAGCCACAGCAGCCCACAGTGGAGTGTCGCCCACCTCCATGGCCCAATTACCTGCTGCCCACCAGGTGTCTCCCGACTACACTTGCTCCGAGGACACATCTGTTTTCCCAAAGGGTCAAGCGTTGAGGGATCACTTCCTTAGAGAATCCTTGCAACTTGGAGGGTTGCTTCTCCCAAGTAGCCCTAAAGAAGCTTCCTCTGGGAAGCTGGCCTAAGGGCAGGCATTGCAGAAAAGACCTTGGTGCCTTAGTTAATGGTAAACTCAGTGAGTCAGTATGTAAAGTGAGGGTGTGTCTGTCTTGGGCCCCATAGTACTCCTGGAAGCTCAAGCACAGGGCCTGGCTACATTGTAGACACTCAATAACTATTATTAAAATGTATAAATGAGGCTACCTCATTTGGTTTATTTGATTTCAGAGCATATTAATGAAGTCTGTGACTGCTGGGAGGCTGTGTAATGAGGGCGGTTCACAGTGCGGGTCTGGATCAGCTCACAGACATTAGCAAACTGGAGCAGGCTCAGAGCAGAGAAGGAACCAAGAACCAAGAGGCAGCATTCCGGGAATAAAGATTGCTATTGAGCTTAAGAGAGAACTTTCTACAATTTAGCACTCTCCAGCAACAAAACCAATGCCTCTAGGGGCTGCCTCTGCAGACTCGAGAACTGGCTGGAAAACCATCAGCTAGAAGTCACAGGGAAGAAATCAGAACAGACGGCTCCTGAGGACTAACCAACACTGCAATTCTGCAAATTTATCCAAGCCCCTCTTGGACCGGTTCATAATGCTGGAATGAATAACATGACAGGACTCTAAGATGCACATACTTTCTTCCTTGCATACATCAAAAAAAGAAGTATAGTTATTTTACTCATCTTCAAATTGCTTCTTTTGATCTTCGAAAGGGGTCTCTTAGTTCTAAGGTTCCAAAGAACCATTAGACAAAGAGTTTTTGGACAGATTGTAATCATGCTATGGCTTCCGCTTGTGTTTACTAGTTAGTTTTTAAACAAACAGGCCAGAGGCAGCACGGTATCACGGAAAGCATGCCTGAGCCGGAGATGCGAGTGCTAATCCTGGCTCCATCCCCTATAAATAAGCCTTGAGACCCTCGAGTCCCAGTTAATCTTGCTGGTGCCTCAGTTTCCTCATCTATAGAGTGAGGACAATTGTGCCTTTGCTTCAAGAGCTAATTGAGATCTAATATGTAAAATGCATGCACAGTAACACAGTAAGTGCTCAAGGTTTGGAGACCTAAAGGTGAGTGGACAAATAAAAGAGCGAATGTAAACATAGCTATATATTTCAGGGTGGCTGCCATTTCTAAATGCCTTCTTGAGGATCTTGTGAATTTATAGCCCCACCTCGCTTTCTGACCCTTGGCCACCCGACCGTATCCACCACACCCTTCTTCACTGAGCACAGCGCCCGGTGACTTCGTGTTCCTAAAACTCAAATCCCCCTCAACAGATGAAGTTTTACTCCCATAGAGGCGATTCAGAAGATATGCCAAGGTTCTTAAGAAAGTTCCCCAAGAGGAGGTCCAGAAACGTAGTGAGCAATGCCAGCGTGGTGGAAATAAGGATGCAGTCTCCCCAAGGAGTTCCCTTGAAAGAGACGATGTGCATTTGGAATATATGAGTTCTGGTCTGCTTATTCAAAAAGAAAATAAAAGCAGCCTCTGCTTTAGCCACAATTACACATATACTGTCCCAGAATGCTGAGGCCGAAAGGATCCTTAGCGAGCAACCAACCCCAGCTGCCTCAAATACACACCCACTATTCGGATGAGAAGACTGAAGAAGGAGGGAGAAGTCTCGAATGAGCCAGCAGCAGAGCAGGAGCTGGCTAGGTACTTCCTGCCTTCAGGTTTCCTGATCTTTCCACACTACCTCAAGCTGTCATTCAATGCAGCCAAGCCACACTGCCAGTGTTGAATGAGGGCCTGATCTACAGCAAGCCCCTTACCTTCAGGTAGCCTTGAAAATCCCAGGGCACCAACTTCTGTGCCCAAGTCGAGTCAAGCTCACAGGACTGAACTGGAGCCTGGCCAGCTCTGGGGACTGTGTGGGTGAGTGAAATTCTTCCAGTCAGACATCAGTAGGGACCAGCACCCAGGAAGGGTGACAGGATCTCTACACCCCAGACTCCGAAGTCCAGGAGAAATCACAGACTTATTCCTCAGAAGGCGATTTGAGATTTGGCTTAAAACAAACCCAGAAAACCTGGGTAACTGATGTTCCTCTAAAATTCTCACCCACAAGGCCATTCATCAAAGCTGAGGTGAATGGCCTTCTCTTCCGCTCCTTGGAGGAAGCTGGGATAGACAATAAGATGTCTTTACGGGGCTGCGAAAACTTTCTAACTATCAAACGTGGGCTAAACAGCTTTGCAAAGGGGTGAGCTCCTCATCACTACAAATGTACAATAAAAAGCTGGGTCACTGTTTGGTAAGGAGGGTATGGAGGGGGATGAAAGACTTTCCAGGTTTTTTACACTCTGAGATTATATAATGCTAAGACCATCAGGAAGAGAGATGGAGGATAGCCAACGAAGCCCACCAGAAAACCCCGACTGGGAAGCACAAATGTAAGCCTTACCTCTGCAGCCTTGTTCCTCCCCTCGTACAGCAGCAGCTCCTCTGACAACAGGAGGGTCCGGGCAGGGTTACAGAGATCTAAAGGCTGAAAACAAAGTGGGCAGTTCAAAGAGGCCTGATGGAGATGGCTGTGGGTGGAAGGGGAGACAGCTTGGCAAAGCCAGACACAGAAAAGACTGCCAGGCCTCCCCACACCCCAAGAACCCACTCGCCCCCTCATACCCAGATGGAAACAGAAAGATACTCTTGTCCTGGGCGGAACTGTTGCTGCCACCTTCACCACCAGCCCTCACTGTGCGTCTTACACTCTCTGGCAGGAAGTCCAACCGCATGTCGCAGTCCTCCTCCCCCCAGCTCCCCCACTTCTCTGGGCTCCTGGGACTTCCCAGGCCCCACATGCTCCCATCTCTCCTGTCCATGTCTCATGGGATGATCTCTGCTGTAAGGTCCAGGATTTCAGGATACCTCCGGAGAGGTCTCAGGATACCACACTGTGCCGGATTTGGTCACTTGAGTCCCTTCAAAGCCATGCCATCCCTGCTCTACATTCATAACACACTGTTAACTGACTCTTTCTCAGCCATCAGTTCCCAGGGGCCAGTTCTCACCCGAACCCCTCCCCCATCCCATCACCCTCCCCCACATCCACTGAGGAGCCCCCGCTCCCTGCCTAGTTCAGAGAAAGCTCCTTAAAGCTCTGGACTCCCCAGCAGGACTTATCCTCATGCACGCATCTTTATAACAGGGCTTCTAAGCACCTGACGCCAAGCAAAGTGCTGAACAAATGTCAACTACGCACAATGACCTGGGTGGATCTTACAAATAATATGAAGCAGAGGAAGCAGGGCCCAAAAGAATATATGCAGTATGGTTTCATTAAATAACATTCAAAAGAGGCCACACCACGTGTGTTATTTAGGAAAGCACACATAGATGGTAAGAAAAGCAAGAAAATGATTATCATAGAGTCACGCTAGCGGGTACTCTGCTGGGGAGGGAGGCATTCCAATCAAGAAGGGATATACGTGGCCTCTGGAGTGGTAGAATGGTCTACTCCTTTATCTTCGTGGATATCAACTTTAAAATCATTTGTTAAACTGTACATTTAAGTGTCATGCCTTTTTTTGATTTATATATTCTACAACTGAAATTTTTTCATAACTTTTTAAAAACTAATTTTAATTTTTTGTAAAAATTTTGAAATGAAAAGAAAAAATAACCCCTCGTGGATGCCAAGCCCTTTGTGGTTACATCCCTAGAAAGAGAAGAGACCAAAAGAAAGTCAAAGAGAAATATGTCACCCGCCAGAGGTGTGCCAGGTCCTAAAAACTGTGAGTCCTAAGGTCCACTAGACAATGGCAGGCCTAGAGTGGGATGCCAGAGACACCAGACAAGGAAATATGGTCAGAAATGAAGCCCTTGGGATGGTCACCTCTATGTTGCTGATGACCTCGAGGATAAACTAACCAAGCCTTTATGGAAAGTAATTTGTCAATATATATAAAGAGCCTTTAAAATGCTTATGACCCATAACTCAGTCATTTCATTTCCAGGACTCTCTTCCAAGGAAAATAATCAGAGAGGCAAGTCATACACAAGGGTTTTCATCACAGAATTATTTACAATAATAGCAAGAGAAGTAGACATAACATAAGCGTCTGCATAGAGGACTGGTTAAATAAATATGGTACGTCCATATAATAGTGTGCAGCCACTACAAAACACAGGCTCAGAAAGTATTTAATAACATGGGAAACATTCGTGCTGCAACTTTCATTTTAAAAAAAGCGAGCGACAGGATAAAAAATGGATAGTAAGACACCTAAATGCTCGCAGTGGTTAGATATGGGTGATAGAATAAATAAAGGTTTGGAAATGGGGAGGAAGAGAGAGAAGAGGGAAAAACAGGAGAAGGGAGATCTAAGGGAATCTCAGGCCACCAGCTATTATTGGCCAGACATGTTTGCCAAGACCAAGGAGGCCAGATAAGATGTCAGACTTCGAGGCTCTCCCTTGATCATTTCCAAACAATAAACCACTGGATGAGCCAGGAAGTAGAAGCCTCAGCACAGAGGCCCAGTGACAACACAAGCAGCTGTAGTGTGCCTGGTTTATCCCTGGAGAAAGGGGAGGTCCGTGGGTCCAGGGAGGGGACCCCTTGTTGCTGGGCTTCCCTGCCCCCACTCTCCGAGAGACCTGGGCTGCCTCAGTACAACCCCGAGAATGCTAAGCGTCTGATGCTATTTGTCTTTCAAAAAAAAAGGAGACCGGGCTCCCAGTCCTGGAATAAGGGACTATCCCCGAGTCCTGAGATGAAGGACCTTCCTCTTTCTCACCTCCCTTGGGGGCACTCACCAGCTCACCTGAACAAAGACAGGAAACACCAGGACCTTGGGGGCCAGGGTGACATAGGTGCCATAGCTTGAGTGTGGGGTGTGTGGCCTCATGACTGGGCAGTTCTGGTAGTTTCCATGGCCCTTCATGGTCTGCACCGTCTTCATCAGCCGGGACTTCTTCCCTAGGCCCGTGTAGGACTTCCCTTTACTGGGACTGCCTGATTCTGTGGAACAGAGATGGGGGACTGTGAGGCATTTCCATGACCCCTGCAAAGGCATCCCCTCTGCAGAAGCAGGGGACAGACTCAGTCAACAGCCACTGCTGTGAGCATCTGCTACGTGCCAGGCCCTGTGCAAGGTGCTGAGAATAATACAAGGAGGCCTCAGAAGGATCTCAGTTCTCAAGGAATTCTCTCACAATCTATGAGAGACACTGACACGTGAATAAACAACCCCAAGGCATGGACGGAGCTGAGAGCGACCATCTGAGATGGAGGCTACAGTCCCCATCTGGTGACCCAGGGCCCAAATCAGAAGTATCGGTTTGGCCTCATACTTTTAAAAATCAGAAGATCTGACCTCACCAGGACCACAGTTCCACCTAGGACAATCAGTTGGGGCAGAGCAGCAACTGCCCAGGTGGCAGAGCACATGGTCTCCCCTTTACCCCATCCCCACCATTCCCTGCACGCACCTAGCACAGCTCTCCCATCCCATCACCTCCTCGGTCCCACGGACCAAAGGACTGGAAATCGGGTCTCTGCAGTGGTAGCAGAGACAGTGGGCTTCCCCGAGATGTATCGCGGTCCTCCCTCCATCAGCCAAGGGGGCTGGAGCAACCTGGCTCACTGAAGTCAGTCTAGAACAAGGATCGGCTCCTGCTACTCCATTTCTCAGGAAAGAGCACCAGCCAGAAGCCAGATGGCTGTGCCCAAATCCCACTGCTCTGCTTACTGGCTTGGTGACCTCCAGCAACTCACTTCCCTCCTCAGAGCCTTGGTTTCCTCCACCATAATAACAGTTTCAAGCTCACTGGGTTGCTGTGAGGATTAAATGAGATGCTCTAAGTGACGCCCCTAGCACAGGACCTGGGACCTATAAGTACACAATAAAAGTCAGCTGCTAACTTATTGTGGTTCTTGTTGTTATAATTCCTCCACTTGGAAAAGCAAGTTAATCATGTGTTTCAGGGAGTCTGGGAATCCTAGGTTTTATCACAGCCAGGAGTTCCTCCTGGCTTGGCCACCAACTCACAAACTATTCTAATCAGAAAAAGGAAAGAAAGGCAGGGAGTGGGAGACACCCCCAGGGAAGAGAGCAGAAAGGAGGCAGGGGGTTCCTCTTTAAGAGGATACAGCCAGACACTCCCCCACACTGAACAGGGGTGTCCTGCAGGTCTTTGTCAATAGAGTTCGATGGGCAGAGAAGCAAAACAGAGAGCAGCTCAAAAGTCAGAGATTCTTGGACACAAGCAGGTAGGAGTCATACTCTGCAGCTTTCAGGTTCTACCCACTCCTGGCTTCTCCAAGGGTTCCTGCTGCCCAGGTGGGCAGCCGACTGACTAGCCATCCCTCACCTGCATGCCCAGCTCATATCACAGAGCCCAGGTGTCTTTCCACCACCCCCTGTCCTTGCAGCCAGGGGGTAAACATGTGGCCTGACTCCCGCTACATTTGGGGGAAGCTCCCCACCAACGCGAGGTCCACCACCTCAGAGGAAAAACTCAACTCAGAAGGTTTCGCACTAGTTTCCTCCACCCACCTTGTCCCCCTTCTCACGGAGCAGGGTGAGAAAAACAAGTTGACTCCCCCTCCCACAAGTGACCACGGATCCCAGCTGTATCTTGGGGTCGCACTCAAACCATAATCATTGAAACCACTTCCTGCCTCTTCGGGGAGGTGCTTCGAGAAAAGTAGAAAGAGCATGAACCCAGGACGGGGGCAGGGGGAGGGCAGACAGATCCATGGATGTAGTTACACAGCTCATGGTCTGATCCGGCCATGACATATGTCCCAGAGGGGTCTGTGCTGCCAGGCCATGGCCCTTTGCTGAAAGAACCCATCCTGAGTCTCTCAGGATTTGAGTTGCACAAGACACCTGAACGTGAGCACAGGCTTCCCCAGAGACTGGTCGTGCACCCTGAACAGTTTCCTTGCCCCTCTGAACCAGTTCTCTCCACTGCAAAGTGTAAAGTGGACAAAACGCTGCCTTGCCTGTCCCAGGGCCAGTGTGGGAGGCACACACAAGAGACCCGATGGGAAAGGGCTTGGTGAATAACACCAGCGTGGGAGCGCACGAGGGACTACTACAAACCCCAAGCTGACAAATAATCCAGCCATCAGGGCTGGGGTTAGGACAAAGCTGCCGAGCCTCGGACCGTACTGTGAGCCTGGAACCAGACAGTCTAATTTCACGTAGCCAAGCCTAGACCAGAGACGGCAAAAACCACAGAGGACCAACAAGCAGGGGACTAAGGCAAAACAGACCAAAATTAAAGAAAGATACTGTTTGCTTATGCCAAAATCTGGGCCCTGTGCCCCCTAGTCTCAGACTTTTAAAAGAATCCATTTCTTCCCTTCCCTAGCCTAGCTGTGTAAGGCTGTCACACAGTCTTCACCTTGGGCCTGAAGAGTGATGAAAAAGCCACTTGACGTACACCTTTGCCTTCAGGTGTGAAAGATCTGCTCAGCCTCATTTTATAGACAAGACAATTTAGGCCTGGGGTAGTTGGGTGACCTGCCTAAGATTATTTGGCCAGTAAATAGTACAAGGTGGAATCAGCCCAATCTATGTGGCTGTCATGCCCATGCGCCCCATCTCTATGCACTCCTAAATAATGTGTGGCTGGCTAGTGGACATGGATCTCCCAAAATACTTTTTTGAAGTAGTTTTCTTTAAAACAGTCCAGTCTTGACTTCCCACCTGCTACCTCTTATCATCTCTGCTCCAAAACCCCACATCACCTCTCTTTGCTCTAACACCTGCTTCGCTGACCAAACGCAGTAATTACTCGTCTTTGCTCCGGCTTCTGAGGTAAGTCTTGGCGGCCATTCTGCCCTAGCAGAGGCAAATCTGAGGCCCAGGCCGCCTTCACAGGGCACAGGACAATGCCAAGGGCACCAGTGGTCCTGGAAAACATGTCAACCACAGGCAGGCAGGCGCCTCAGGCCCCGGAAGGGCACCAAACCCCATTCAGCTCAGGATGGCTCAAAGCTCCCTCCTGAAAGAAGGCCAGGCAGCCCAGCCAGAGGGAGGGAAAGAAGTCGGCACCCTGGTGACAGCCTAGCCTTGGGAGAACCCTGAGTGTGTCTAAATGAAGCTTTGTGCCCTGAAATCCACCCCTCCTTCTGGACCCCAGGACTGGGAGCTATGAAGACTTGATCCCTGGTAAAGAACAAAGATGTTCTTGGATACCGAACATTATGAAGGAAGGTCAAGTTCCTCATACAATGCATTCAAATAGTTACTGTCATTATTAACATCATCATCATTACTTTTCTTGTCCCACTTCCCATGGCTTAAATGACTGTGCCCTTCTTGGGTCACTAAGTACTGTATTCTCAGAGGGGAAGCAAAATGTGGACACAGGTTAGGAGGATGGCAGGGAGACTCCGAGTCATCTCTCGGGTTGAGAGGGAGCCAATTGTCAATCACTGGCCCACCACAGGTGACACACCTCTCCAGCTCCCTTACTCGGTGACCAGTCTGCAAACCCTTAGAGGCAATCAGAATCATTCTCCTTCAGTCATCTGAGTAACAGAAATTCTACTGAGTACCTTCTGTCTTCTGTCACACATCCGGCATTGGACGCACAGAGCCGACCCAGGCCCTGCTCCTACTGAAGTCACCATTCAGCAGTGGCATCTCCACTCGAAGCTAATGCGCCAACTAAAAGCCTTTTTAAAAACTCAGGGTTGAATCACTATCAGACTCCTCTCCAAAAGGAACACAGATTCATTTCTGACAGAACAGGCCCAAACACCCAAATGCTCCAGCCTGGAGAGAATGAAGATTTTTCCCATCAGCAGCACTGAGCCTGATAAGAGCCCTTTTCTTCCAAAAAGACGCAAGCATTCTTTCAAGTACCCACTCTAAGCAAACATCATCTTCACAGTACTGTTAGAGGGGGACCAGCACAGAAGCAAGTACAAGTGCCTGGGAGAAGGCCACTCTCGAGGAAGGAGGTCAAAGGGAATTCTGCTGGCACTAGGAGAAGGGCTCAGGCATACTCAAGGCAGGCATCACAGACCAGCAGGCAGGGCCGGTCTCGGCTTCCTAGACACTTGTGCCAGAGGTCTCCAGCAGGCCCAGAGGGAGACTAACAGAATGCCCAGCCAACTCCAGCATCAGGACTGATATCTCGGGCTTCCTGAGAGAAGGAAATGATTTGAGTCCAGCTTTTTTCCCTGGTCATGACAAGACAGGGCCAGGATTTGAAGGCCAAAGAAGAATCACTCCAACAGCAGAGACATCCATGCACTTCAAAGATAACTACTCTTGGGATACAGGCCACTGCTCACGACCACTGCCCCATTTAATCCTCCCACAGCCCTCTGAGGTGGGAATTATCAGCCCCATTTTATAGATGAAGAAACTGAGGCCCAGTAAGGGGACATGAGTTGATCGAAGTCACACAGCCAGAAATCCAACTTGAGACCTCCCAGCTCCAAACTCCATGCCTCCCTTCTACGTAGGCCTGATCGTGTTGCCTACAGCACCTAACATATATTGTTATCCAAGTAAAATTGGATGAATCTCAATTGAATGCCTGAGTTCTAAACACCATGTCTGTGATTGCTCTGGTAAGATCTCTCTTCCTTCTTAGGCAGGCTCCAAGGAAGAAAGACACTAGTTCAGTGAGGGAGAAAATGTACCAAAGGAAACAGAGTCTACATCAACAAGCAAGGGGATCTTGACTCTGTGGAGAGGGCCTCCAACCTCCGAGGAGGAGGCTGTACCTGACCTCCCAGCTGACCTCACAGTCTCTCCGGGGCTTGGGCTTTGGGAGGGCACAGCAGAGGACAGACTCACCTTCAGGGATGGCATCCTCCTGGTACACAGGCCGCAGCAGCTGCAGGGAAAAGACAGGAGAACCACCTCAGCCCCGGGAACAGGGCAGGACAACTAGACAGGCTGCTCACCCCCAGCCTGGGGACGAGAAGGGAACAACACCTCAGGTAATGCGGGAAAAATAGCAGTCATGCTACATGCTGAGAGGGGGCGCTCAGAGGGAACACAGAACCCAGAATCCTCCAGAATACTAGAGCTGGACAAGGCTTTCGCTGTCATCCCTTGGCCAAGTTCCCAACTTCCTTGATGGCAGTTTGTTCCGAAGTGCGTTCCTTGGAACACTGGCACTGTGGGACGCTAACAACCCTGCCACAAAGAGAACACCAGCAGGGGAGTCTGGGAAATGCTGAGTTAAACCACGTCCAACCACTCTCTTCACTACGGGATGTCCTCAGAGCCTCAAATAGGCTAATCTGCATTGGGACTCTCCAGAAAAGGAAGAGTACGGGATATTTCTCAAACTTATTTGACCTCAGAACACTTTATTCCCAGAGTATCTCGTGGGACTAATGTTTTGGGGTATGCACTCCATCACCCCACCATGCCATCATTCAGTGTCTGCTTTCACACCCCTGTGACAGGGGGCTCACCACCTACCACACACAGCAACCCATTCCACTGGGGAAAAGTGCAGACTGGCACAAAGCTTTTCTTTCTTTCAAGGTGCCATCTTCCACTCTGTGATGTCCCCTGGTCCTGAATCTGCGCCCTGAGGCCACAAAGACCCACCTGCTCTCTTTACGCAGAGTAGCCTTGCAGCAGCAGAGCTAACACACACCCTGCCTCCTAATTCAGCACTCCCAGCCCCTCTTAGGCGCCTCGCCTCAAGTCTTTTCCTGGCCTCACACAGGGACCAATGCCCTTCACCTTCTCCAAACCAGCTGTCCATACCTGGCTCCCAGGGTTCAGCGGGGCCAGGATGATGTAGTTGGGGTCGGTGGGGGCAGTGGCACGGGACAGCGCAGGCAAGGTGTGCTGGCCCCCGCGCTTGGCCACCTCGGTGTAGCGCTCCCAGCCGCCGAGCAGCAGCCCATCAGAGCTGTCACATACCAGGTGGCAGCTGTGGCGCTGCTCAGGCCGTGCCTGGGCCCCATGGGTGCAGTTCTTCTCCCGCTTGTTGGGGGGTGACTGGAGGTCATGGGTGGACTTGCAAGAGGCCCGCCGCAGGACCCCACCATCTGGCCCCGGCTTGACCTGGGGGACCATGCGCCACACGAGCAGGATGATTTCACTGGGGCAGCTCCTGGAAGTTGGCAGGGGGAGGAGGGGAGTTACATAAAGAAGTTGAGTCTGGGGGAGACCAGGAAGTCAGCCAGGGTAAGGGCCTTCAGGGGAAGAGAGGAAGAGTAGTGAAGGGGAAGAAGCCCCTAATGTCAGGGCAGAAGCGGGGTAAGAGGCCGCTTAAGGCAGAGACAGCACAGGGGTCCCTTAAGTCAACTCTGACTGGCAGAGACTGAGAAAGATGCTGAGACCGAAGCCAGGGTAAACAAGGAGTACCAAACTCAACTAGTGACGTCTGTTGTGGGCAAAGTATAAGCAAAGAGGAGCAAACAAACCACCTACACGCAACCCCTACAATGGGCCATGAGGGTTCTACCCCAGTAGGTCAAAATTTAGAGGGCCCAAACATTTTAAAGAATAAGTTTTAAATCGTGCAATTGAAACAGTTGCAACATCTACATATCCTTTAAAAACAATGGTCTTAGCTCTGAGGTATCAGGAATAATTAGCTAAATAAGTAGCTAAAGTGGAAAGCCACCCCCTGGAGCCCCATCAGGAAGCACAGGGTCTGTTTGAGAGCTTCTTCCTGCTGTTGGCTCTGGGATCCACAATTGCTCTGAGCCTGAACCTTCCATTTTCAGGCCAAGAAACTGATTCCCTGAGGGGCAAAGTAAATTGCTAACAGCTAGGCAAAGGAGGAAAGGGTAAGACCCCGTGCCCAGGGTTGGGGAAGAAAGGTGTGCCATCACCCTGAGGTCCCGGGCTGCCCCCTGCCCGTCTCACCGAATCTCATGGGCCAGCTCTACGCATTTCCAATGCTCCACAGGCCTCTCATTCAACTGTAGCACCGTGTCCAGCTGCTGTAGCCCTGCCCGCTCTGCCGGGCCCCCTGTAAGGACCAAAAGAAAAAGCCACTCAGAGGCTCCTGAAGCCCACAACCCACTTAGAGGACCTGGGGTACTTGGTTTCTCCAGTGACCTCAAACGAGGACTGCCTCTGTCTGTTTCTTCATCTGCGAACTGAGGGGCTGACCTTGGTGGTTCTCAGGGGCCTTAAAGGAACACACCCTTTGCCCTCATCTCCTCCCCACCTGCTCACGCCTCTCTGCTGTCCAGCCTTCCAGCCAGCCCCCCGCCAGGGGCTCCCACCCCACTAAGAACCCTTCCTTGTCAGCTGGCTCACACATTTCATTCTTTCCTTCAACATCATTCATTGAGCACCAACCTCACGCCTCATTCCCGTGCAGGCACTGGGAGTTACCCAGATCACTGGGCCCCGGCTTCTCCTCTTAAGATGTTCACTCGATGATTAGGAGAAGTCTTTTCTTTGTGAAAAGTGGGGAAGGAATGCCTATTTTTACGTTTTAATCAAGCTTGGAATAGGATAAAATATCGACTCCAAACAGAGTTCAGAAATGACTCATTTTCCCATGCAGCCGTTATTGAAAATATAGGTTTAGTTCCTGTTTGAAATGCTTGGGAAACAAAATAGAAAAATCTATTTTCGTTTTGATAAAAACAAAAGAAAAGAATGGGTATATTTTCATAAACCTCAGTTTTATCTGTAGTCACTTAAAAATATTATTCTTTTCATTTTGAAAAATGAGGAGATGCTTTGCTCCAGTGTGGGGCATCCCTTTCAGTTCTAAGGTCTGATTTGCAAAGCCCAGGTGCATGTCAGGCGAGCAGGGCTGGCATCACCCAAGACACTCACCGGAATCCACAGCCTGGACTCGGACCGGAGAATCGCAGCAGATGGTGAAGCCAAAGCCGTCTTTCCCCCTCGGGATGGTGATCTAGGACACAGCCCAATCCAGTTACTCCCAGAAGCTGCTCCAAGGTCTGGAAGCCCACAGGCCCCACCCCAGAGCCACCCTCCTTTCCAAGGGAACTACGCCAAAAAGGAGTCGGGCCAGCCCCTCGCCATCCCTATCTCAGCCTAGGCATCTTGAGCCCTGGGTTGTAGGCCAAGCAGGAAGGCTGGGAGCTCAGGAGGCAAAGCCTGGCCAGTGTGGGAGGCCAGGACAGACAGAGTCTTAGAAGGGCAAAGCTCACCTTCCTCAGCCCAGGCTGACATGCAGTCCTTTGCCAAAGGGCTTACTGGACCGGCACGTAGCCACTTTGCCTGTGATCCACTGCCTGCTCTGTCCCTTCCTCTTTTCCCCCAGGGGTCCCGGAACTCAGGGATGAAGCCAACCTGGCCGCTGCTCTCCCAGGGAACAGAAGAGAGAAGACAGAGACACACACGCACTCACAGCCTCAAACCAAAGGTCAGGGAACAAGAACCAGGCTTCTCAGGGTGGTCCACAAGGCATCCAGTGAGGGCTGCCAGCTAAAAGGGCAGGTGAGAACACTGACCCTGAGCTCACCGCCGACCTCGCTGTGCCTGCAGAGGTCCATGTATATGGCAACTCCACAACCCCTTTCAGAAACCCCCTGAAAGGGCTCTGCCATCTGGATGCTCTTTACAAAGCAACAGTCAATTATTAAGCTCCTGTTGCATGCTAGACTCTGCTGAAGTACCGAAACATGAGGCCTTGGTCTCTGGCTCCCAGAGGGGCATGAGGGTACACGGATCTCTCCAAAGCAAAGTAGGACATGGCAAGCATTAGAGAAAAACACGAGGACAGTGTTGGGAACGGTCCTTTGTGCTTGGTTTCGAGCGCGGCAGGATCTCAGCAAGTGCTAAGTTAATGAGGACAGCCCAGAAGCATCCCACCGGCAACAGGAAGCTGCAGGGTGCAGGGCAGTCTGCTGGCTCAGTTCAGTTCAGCCTTGCTGTGCTCTCTTTCTATGTACCCTTAATTAGGCTTTGGGCGGGGTACAGAGACCCAGCTCTGCCCACCCAAAGAGCAATTCCAGGCTGCTAGGAGCAGGTGGATGAGAGCAACAGACCTAAGGGAGCGAAAATCAGAAAAGAGGTTTAGTGGGGTCCCAAGAGACTCCCCTGGAAGTGGCTGTGAAGTGGGCCCTGGTGAGGCACAGGGAAGGCGTCCCAGGTAGACTAAGAAAGAAGCCAGCGCAGCAATCCTGAAAAATGTCAAGGGCCACCAGCCTTGTCAGGAGACTGTCTCCTTCATTCACAGTTGTTTCTTCAAGGCTGGGTGCCTGGCACTCGCCTGCCAGCTGTTCCAAAGGCCAGGCGGCTGTGAGGAAGGGGAGTGCCAGGGGGCCCGGGGCGATCAAGGCCCTTGGAAGCTGCCGGGAGGCCCCTGAGGCTCTGCTTCCCACCAGCCCTGGGCCTGGATTCAAAGCGAGTTTGTAAAACAGGAAATCTAACAGACAAGGGGAAGGGGGAGGGGGCAGGAAAATACCCCATTCCCATAAGAATTCTGGGAAAACACGTAGCTAAGACAGGAAGAGAAAAAAATGAAAAGAAAGAAAGAAAAACAAACTCTGGAGTGAGTGCGGAAAGCCCAGGCTGAGGCTGAGGGAAGCTGTCAGGAGCCCCCATTTACTCCACACGACCAGCAGGGATTTTAGGGGCCCGGTGACCCGCCCTCCATCCAAGCAGACGCTGGGATTCCAAAGTCTTACCAGCACTTCTCCTACCCAACAAGGGCCACGGCCCCTGTGACCCACATGCCTGCTCTGGAAACAGGTCCTAGCACCCGTGGGCTCCGTGCTAACAGTTTGGGGACTGGCCCCAGAGTCGAATATGTAGAAAAGGCATGTGCTCCAGCAAAACAGCCTCCCGCACGCACGTCCTGGTCCCCTCAACCAGGTGAAACTGTGGCCTGGCGCTCCCTCTGCCTTCCTGGGCACCAACTTATGAGGAGCCAGCTGGACAAGAGTCCAAACCAGCTGAGGGTGGGCAGGAGAGGGAAGAGGAGATCGCATCAGGAAGCAAGCTCCTGTCCTGGCTCAGCGTGGTGGGGTGGGACCGCACGAAGAAAGCGGAATTACATCATGAGCAAAGGCCACGTTAAGTCAGTGTCCAAAGAACCTGATCATCCCTGCAACCCTGAGCAGAATGCAGAGTTTGTTTAGTACGCCCATTTCACAGAGAAAGAAACTGAGGCCTGAGAAAGTAAGTGGCAACCTCCAGCTCTCGGCCCTCCTCTCTGACCTCAGGTCTCAGGGTCAGGAGGTAAGGAGAGCCCTGTCTGAGTCCTGGACCTTAGGGGCTCCTGGCAGAGGCTGTCCTTCCTGGGGGTGGTTCTTGCTCCTTCCTGTCCAGGGCCGCAACTGCCAGTACTCTCAGATCTCACTCATGCCGGCACCTCACTTATGCCTTCCGGCCTGGTTTCTGGTCCTCTGTCATGCCTGGACTTCCATTTCCAACTGCCACCATTTATTGAACCCCTCCCACAGGTACCTACCAGGTGCTGAACCAGGCACTGCATATACAACATTCCATTTACTCTCCCAGCATCGTCAGCCCTATTCCCCTGACAGGGAGACGGAGGCTCAGGGAGGTAAAGTGACAAGTTCAAGAGCCACAGATGAAGAAGAGCAGAGCTCAAGTCTGACAAAAAGCTGGTGCTCTCACCCCTGCACTGGTTACTAGTGTAGGATCTACCTTGAACCTGAGTCCCAGAGCCCCAAGCCCAGCCTACACTCATGACTGGCCTCACTCTAACTGAAGCGTGACCCCCGTCTTCTGGCCCATAGTCCCAAGGTGACCAAGGATTTATGGACCTCGCATCCAGTGCCTTCTTGGCCTCACCACTCTGCCACCCAAATGTTGGTGTGGCAGGAGCTGCTCTGCCTGGCTCCAGGAGGGCGGGAAGGCAGGGTGGGACTGTGCAGGGCTGGGCCATGCACAGGAGCTGATAGCTGGGGAGAACTAAAGGGAGAACATGTGGATCCCATGGCTGTGGGGCCATAGCACAGGAGGCCCCTCCGGGCACCTCCCTGGGATGCCTGCCCAAAGGAGTCAGGACCGTTTTCAGGCTCATTGTTAAAACACACAGAGAGACTTTTCTATATTAATAAAATCAGAACCATTCCTGAGCTCCCCTCCATTCCCCAAAACTAGACATCCCTTGCCTTCGTCCTCCCGGACTCCATGCCTTTTTTATAAGAAAAAATGTCTATCGCAGTTCCAGAAGAAGCTCAGAGGCTAATGGATCATCACTCCCACTCTGCCCCACATCCTATGACTGGAGGCTGAGCAGCCAGACCCTCTCAGTGAAACTGGGCTCCAGAGCCAGAGGACTCTGGATCTGCAGCAAGGCACGACTGGGGAGAAAAATCATGTGTGCATATCCATGTGTGATCATGGACATGGAAAAACACATCTGTGTACATATACACAGAAACATCCTGTCTCACATATAAGCACACACCAAAGCAGGCAGAAACGCTCACGCGATCACACACACAATGCAGGACAGGTACTGACGTCCCAT